TCAATTGTTAACTATTCAAATTTTTAGATATTTTGTGAGTCAGTTGCTAAATAACTAGTAGCTTAAGCAATGATGAAACCATTGACATTATAAAAAATTTGCAAGTACTACAAATTAGGGATCTTTTAAAGAGCTTATTTACCAGAATACCACTAGACATATAACTTCTCATGCATGTGTACAGGAAGGTATTATAGAAAAACCATTCAGAATATGCTCTAAGTTTAATGTGTTGTTAGTTTCAGGACGTAACTGAGGTATTGAATTTTTCAACTACCTCCATATTCTCAATCTTTAGTCTTGGATAACTTTTGAACATCAAAAAAAAAAAGTATTATTTCACATAACAAGCAAAAGCTAGAATGACTCCTTATTGGTTAATTAAGTGACTATTTGATAACTTTAAGTTACTTGGTTTCTTTTGACTTTTTGAAGAAACACAGCATGCTAGCCCTCTTCAGGTAGCAAGGAGACCCCATTGGTCAACTCAGGTTATTTCCCTTAAGCCCCATTGGTCAGTTCAAATCATTTTAATGACTTTCCATTTCATTTAGAATTTGTGACATGACTTCAGCAGTCATTTACTTAATATGAAACTTACATTTTTAAACAGAAAAGGAGAAGCCTAGTTTCTCACATGGACAATTAAAGCTGCTCATTATTTTAGATCTGGGTAGAAATCATAAGTTATTTAAGTAATTTTCAACAAAATTATTTCTGCAAGTAATTCATGTACTTCAAGTATTTGCAGATCAACTTTCATTCAGGTCAGTACTCTATTTTCTGACAATTTAACATATTTTTCACAGTTTTGGAACTTCAACATTGACGAGAGTTGTAAATACTATGATTACCTTAATGTCAATATTATGTTTTAAAATAATCTTGCCTGAGGTAAAGAGACCTTCTGAAAGTCATGCATTTATGACTAAGGTCATTTATGTTTTTCCTGCATTAATTTGACAACCATAGTATTAAGCAAGGGAAAATACAAACAGATGAGTATTATAGCCAACTTCCAGTTCTACCTCATTTTTTGCTGCAAACATTAGGGGAAGTAAGAGTTTCTCCAAATCATTTAAACTAAATGAAAAAGGACTGAAGGCCAAGTGTATTAATTTTCTAATGAGATTTACATGTGTAAGTGTAGACTATAGATTCTGACAGCTGATAAGAAAATGATATCCTATATGCCCTAAGTTCACATATATGTCTACTTAGAAAATGCAAACTTTCTAAAGTAATCCTACTTGTATTATTATTAATGAATGACTATTTTTAAAAAGTTCTTTTTTATAAGCTACTATAGCAGATTTAAACTTTGAAACTTCTTTCTTGAAGTGATTTTAACTGTATTTGAAACTTGGAGAACAGACACTCCCAGCGATACACGCATTCCTGAAGAACAGCAAATACTTTTCGTAATGTCAGTCAGGGCTAAAGGAGAGACTGATAAACTAAAGGGGAACATTTTAGGAATGATCTGTTTTTGCAGTCAGAAGAGAAGTGTGCTACTTTAATTATTCTTTTAAAAAATGTAAAATGGGCCCTCCCTGGTGGCGCAGCAGGTTAAAGCACAGCACTGAAAGCTAAAGCCACTTCCGCATGAGTTCGATTCCCGCATGAGTTCGATTCCCGCATGAGTTCGATTCC